ACCGCCAGTTCCTTACACGGTGCATCGGCTGGAGCAAGCGGAAACGCTCAGACCGCCCCCTGTCCTATGCCCAGGCCCTCATCCAGGCAGGCTGCGAGGAAACCATCGAGGCCACCGTGCGCAAACGGAGACTGTGTTTCGCGGGCTTTGTTATGCGCATGGAGGACAGCCGCCTCCCCACGCGCATGCTGTTAGGAGCGATGGCGGGGGGCGTGGGATACCGGGGCGGGCAGGAGAGCGACTGGGTGTCTCGTCTAGGAGAGGACCTCGTGGCCTTCAACATGGGAGACGAAAAGGAAAGGGGGGAAATGGAAAGAGAGCGCCAAGGATCCGGAGGTGTGGTACAACAAGGTCGAGGACGGGGCGGCATGGTTCATGAGGAAATGGCACAGGCAGGAGGCGGAAGCGTCCGCGAATCGCCAGCGCGCGAGGGAAGCAGAAGCAGCGAGTACGACCATCTCAGGACCGAAGAGAAAGAGAACCGGCGAAGCGGCGGTGGGGGGGAAGAAACGGCGACCGGGCACTTTTGTAGAAGCAAGTAGGGCGGCCGAGGCAGCGCTTGTGGCGAACTATGTACCCGGCTGATGTTGTTGCGCCCTGTTTCCCTTCCTGCTGTATGCTATACTCCTTCATGTATGTCCTTTGTATTGCCTTCGGCCTCTGTGCTGTGTTTCTTTTTTTCATGACCTCCCTGCCTACTCTGCTGTGTTGGGTACCTTGATCTCGCTTTGCTGTTGCCTTTGTTTTCGTACGTCTGGCTGTCCGCCCATCTGCCGCCCCTTTGCCCTGTTTGCTCCGTTACTCCCATGCCCTGGTGCGTGGTGCCTGGTGCTGGTACGTTACCCTTTGATTGTTTCTTTGGGCGGGTGTGGGTATTGTTCTTAATATTCTTTTTTTATCGGTGTCCGAGGGCTCTTTCCTCGAACGGTCGGTGCGATACCTGTTCTTTTCTTTCTATCATTTTGTTTTCTTTTTCCGAGTGGTTCGTACCCTATTTTTGTTTTTATTGTTTTCTCGCGGCGTCGTATGTGCAGGGTTTTGAGACCGCGGGCTCCCCATTTTTGGTGGACTATAGAGCTAATGTGAGAAACAACAACAACACCGAGGCACACACCGTTGGGAACTCATCCTCAGAGAAAAAAACAGCAGTCGGCTCTGTTTACCGGTTCCCCCATACAGGCACGGAACCACAGACGACTGTACATGCTTCATTTCGCCCTCATGGGCTGCAGACTGTGAGGCACTTTTCTGCCATGAAATGCATGAAAGTAGAAGTATTTTCAAAAGTCAATTGCATCCAGACGGCCTCACATCCCGCTGTTGACTCTACATTCCATGCAACAACAACAACTGCTGTACTGCTGTGTACTTCTTGAAATAGAAGCAGAGTAGGTTTCCAACCCCGCTGACACAGCCTCCACCTTTATTGTTTTTCGTCCCGTTGGAAAACAGCTGCGCTTGAGGTTGAGAACGGCGGAAAAATGAAGCCTGCCGGTATGGGCCGAGGGGATGGAGTCTGGCTTGGCCAGCAGTCCAGGGGTGATAGCATCATGTGGATCACGGAAGGCATTCGGGGCAAGGGAGAGCTTCCGGAGGTATGTACAGCAGTGTAGCAAGGTGGGTATACCTGATCAAGTCCGTGACCGATTGGGAGTATCGTGTCCCGAAAATATATCGTACGGAATCGGGGAGAGGGGGGGGAGGGCATGGGAAGAAAGTCAGGTATATATTTGAAGAAAGTTTTCGACGACGTCAACATGCCATGCGCTTCAGGCCTCGGTGTAAAACACCAGGGTACGAATGCTGCAGGTCTGCCGAAGACCTATTTCTGATGGCGCTTGAAGTCCTGCCGACCTTATGTGCGTCCGGCGCGTGAATGCCCGCTCGCGTTACTTGAACAGGGCCTCGAAAACCTCCTGATGCGCTTGTTCGCCTTGAGAGGGCCGCTTAACGACGGTTGCGGATTGCCTACGACCTCCTCTGCGACAGGACTGGGCCTGGTGAAGGACACTACCTCCGTGCAGCTGGCGAGATATCCGGGCGACGGGCGCGGCTACGTGCGACACCGGGACACCCCGCGGAGTGCTCAGGATAGCGAGGAAGCAGAGCGGAAGGTGCGGATTTGCGCGGACGGCGTGGAGATGTATCGCTACGTCTCACCTGTTTCGATCGCCCTGGCCGTTGCTTCAAACATGTGACACGCGCGCCCTTCAGATTGAACCGAGCAGGTCGTACTGCTGAAGCTGGGAGTCTTCATCATATGCGGTTGTCACTCAGATCAGCGTTTTGTCTGTCATGTGATTGTTTACGACGCCCCCACGTAGCAAGGGTCGACCAAACGCATGCAAGAGTGCATTACAGCTACATAGCACCCCGCCACTGCCCCATCGCCTGCCTCGCACGCCTCTTCACACGAACACGCCAATCAGCCCTTGCTGATGCCGCCGTGGCAAGCACAACAGTCTGAGCAAGGACCTCCCCAGCCCCACTCTCCCCGCTCGCTGAAAACATCCTTCAGATTACTGCGCTGTACTACCTCAATCCCGACTGGAGACCCTCAATGGGGGGCCAGCTGCGGGTGCACCTGGACAGCCGCCGCGAAGCAGCGGCGGAAGAAGGCGGACCCCGACCAGCGGGTGAGGAGGAGGAGAAGGCCGGCCGCAAGTGGGACATCGAGCCGGTGTTGGACCGCCTTGTGCTCTTTCGCAGCGACCTGGTGGAGCACGAAGTGAGAACGTGTTCTTTGTGTCTGGTCGGTCGTGGCAGGGTGTCCTTGGGCCATGACGTCAATGTTGTTTACTTTGTGAAGGAAAAATCGGGTTCGCTTAACGGTCTCTTGTTTGCCGTATCGTGACCGAGGTGGTGTCGTTTTCTTCGTAACCGCATCACACGAGGTGTCCACGAGCCTATCGAACCGGGGCGTGTGAACAAGAAACGTACAATCTTTAGTTTATTCTAGAATACGGCCCTCCGCTCCCCTATCTTCGTATTCCTACAAGCAACGCCCCCCCCCCC